ACTTTCTTGTGGAAGTTATAATACTTATATAGTCATTCCTCTACCTTAGCACGGCATGATTGTACTGTGTTCCAATAGCGTCTTTAACAGACGCAGTACGAGTGAAGTATCGATAGGGAATGTACTCGGTTACTAACGTAACCTCGGTTCCCTGAGATACGGGAACGAGTACTGCATTGCTAACCGTGCTATGTAGCCGCACTACTCAGTCGTCGCTTCAGTCGAAGTAACCTGAGAATCCTGTGGCAAACGCCCGCTTATATAGCCAGATGACCCCGCCCATTCTGGCGGGCTCTGGCGGGTTTTGTCGCCATAGGCTCATGCAGCTCCACTGCCGAGCCATTGGTTCATTTTTTATTAGGGCTGTGAATCCTTGGGGAGACAGCGAATCGATTCACGATTCATAGGTTTTCGATTCAAGAACGATTTTTGCAAATTAAGAACGATTCAATTCGATTTGATTCACAATTAAATTCGAGTCGATTCGATTCGATTATAACGATTCGATTCTGCATTCTTGGCCATGCAGTTTCACTGCATGATTGAAAAAGGCTTCAGTTCAGGAGAAAAAAAAGGCTTTTTCCCATAGCGTCTTTAGACGCAGTACTCGTTCCCGTATCTCAGGGAACCGAGGTTACGTTAGTAACAGAGTACGTTTCTGAAGACAATCACCTATTGCACCTTTAAATATTAGTCTCTATAACTATACGTCATGGAATATACCTGCAGTCTTTATGTATTAGTGATTTACATACCGCATAAACTAAATTCACTAGTAAATCATGTTTATGAAGTAAAGGAATACCTTTCTTTAAGTCTCTGAGACCCAGCGGCCCAGGACTTTAGTTGGACATGTAGGTATTTAATGACTGTCAAGGTTTAATCAAACAAATGGGATATGACTGAAAAGCCCACTATGTAGTCTTTATTAGAACATAGTTTCAGGCCAGAAGCTATTCCTTCCCCTGAATTCAGATCTTGAGTCCCTTATAGGGGACAAAAATGAATTACAGGGTTTCGAGAGACAGAGACTACAGGAAGCCTTCTGTCACAGTGAATTAACAAAGTGATCAACAGTGCTAGCTAGCGGGATGAATCCGATAATGGATCAGTCTACAAAGTCACAACAACACGAAGCTTTTCAGGGTAGAGGCAATTTGGCGGATTCCCAGAAAACACCATTTTCTTGATGGAAAATGATTAATGCGTTGAAGAGCAAAGGCTTTATTCACAACGCATTTTAAAATTCTCCATGAAAAGAACATATCTGCTAATCACTATGGATGCATTTACAGTATAAGAGGCTTTTCAAACCAAATTTACTTGCAACATTTTTGACTTTTTACTTGAGGAAAAATAAAAAAAATCTCAAAACTTAAGTCTCAATACATTCGACAAATACAGATGGATTATTCTTTTTCTGCAGTTTAAAGCACAAATAAATAGAGCAATTAGCAGTCTGCATAATATTTATTACACTGAATAATATTAAAAAAAAAATTATTCAATGTAATATATATATATATACACAGTGGTGTGAAAAAGTGTTGGCCCCCTTCCTGATTTCTTATTTTTTTGCATGTTTGTCACACTTTAAGTATTCAGTGGATTTCTCAGCTTTTCGCCTTTCCAATAACAATGTTTTCCATCTTACCCACCCGGAAAAGCGATTTCACAGACGCAAAGTCTACACAGGGTACTTGATGCTCGGAGTCTGCTAACAGGCACTGCTAGCTATTCAGAGAACACGTCATGGCATCTAATGAAGACAAAAGCAGAGGTTTGGGGAAGGAAGATGTGGGTGAGGAAAGGTTAATGTTATATTAATGGAGACCTCCACTGTCCTTGACAAATCATGTGGCCCCTGTGACCCTTTCCAAGACTTTAACTTGACGACAAAAAGGCTTGTGCTCGCTTTAAGCGATTTATTTTACCCTCACGTACTACGTTTTTACAAAGTGGCGGTGTCTGCGTGTCAGTTGCTTTGTGAATCACACTGTATAATTCACATATTTAGTTATTCAGCAGGGACTTGGTGTTTGCGTCTGGGATTCACACCGACACTAACCCTGTGTTTGTAGCGAGATCCCAAAACAGCCCAATTTTCAGGATGTTCTGCTGTCAAACCAAAGTCCCAAGACAGATGGGAGCCGGAGATTTTTATTCCTCCCACAGCAGGTTCAGATAAAGTTGAGAATTAGGTTTCTATAATTAGTTGACTCTTTGGAGTCATGCTGCCAAACTGTAAAAGAAACTGTAATTTATAATAGAGGCAACATGAAAAGACTTTAAAGGGATAGCTCACCCAAAAAGAAACTTTCTGTCTTTAGTAGCTCACCCTGATGTCGTTCCAAACCCGAGTGACTTTGCCTTATGATCAAAATATCTATTTTCGGATCACAGAACAGAACTTTCATGTGCAATGACAGATCTTAGTGTACATGGCTGTTAAGCTTAATAGAAAACCACACACACACACACACACACACACAAACATAAAACTGGTTTAAACTACTGTTCAAACATTTGGGGTCTGTAGGCCTAATACTTTTTTTTGTTTTTTAAAAAAGAGTCTCTGAAAACAGTAAAAAAAAAAAAAAAAAAAATTGTGAAATATTATCATGATTTAATATATTAAATATTACTGTGTTTTAACATATTATATGTGACCCAGGACCACAAAACCAGTCATAAGGGTCCATTGTTTTCGAAATTTAGATTTATACATCATCTGAAAGCTGAATAACTAAGCTTTCCATTGATGTATGGTTTGTTAGGATATTTGGCCGAGATACAACTATTTGAAAATCTGGAATCTGCAAAAAAAAAATCTAAATATTGAGAAAATCAAAGTCATAAGGGTCTTTTTTTTTTATTGAGATTTATACATCATCTGAAAGCTGGATAAATGAGTTTTCCATTGATGTATGGTTTGTTAGGATAGGACAATATTTGGCCGAGATACAACTATTTGAAAATCTGGAATCTGCAAAAAAAAATCTAAATATTGAGAAAATCAAATTTAAAGTTGTCCAAATGAAGTTCTTAGTAAGGCATATTACTAATCAAAAATTAAGTTTTAATATATTTACGGTAGGAAATTTACAAAATATCTTCATGGAACATGATCTTTACTTAATATCCTAATGATTTTTGGCATAAAAGAAAAATCCATAATTTTGACCCATACAATGTATTTTTGGCTATTGCTACAAATATACCCCAGCGACTTAAGACTGGTTTTGTGCTCCAGGGTCACATATTTTTTTTCCTGTGATGGCAAAGCTGAATTTTCAGTCTTCAGTTTCCCATGATCCTTCAGAAATCATTTTAAAATGCTGAAACTTTTATATTAATCAATGTTGAAAAAGATTATGCTGCTTAACATTTTTGTGGAAGCTGTGATGCAGTTTTTCAGGATTATCTAATGAACATTTATTTGAAACTGATTATTTTACTGTCACTTTTGATCAGTTTAATGCATCCTTGCTGAATAAAAGTAATATTTTTTTCAAAAAAATCCTACTGGGCCCAGCCTTTTGAACTACTTGAGCACTATAGTTGAAGTCATATGATATCTTGAGATTAACAGATTAATATTTTAGTCAAAATTCACTGATCATCTGGTGACTTTCAATGAGCTGTTAACTTGCAAACTGACCATTGAGTCTGACAGCTGAACTCTGATTCATGAACAGTTCTCTCTGAGAACCAGTGGGAACGGTTTCAGCAAACCAGTGGCAACCGTTCTCAAATTAATATTTAAATATCAGCTCTTCATACAAAGGTGCGCTCTTCAAGTCTTCTTTAGTCACACGAGTCTAATGGACCACATTTATGGTGCTAAAACTATTTGTGGAAAATTTGTGCATGAAGATTCGTCTGTGTTCCACAGGGAAAAAACAGCATTGTTACAATATAATAGGCTGGTTAGTAAATAATTACAAAACATTCATTTTGGGTTCATTTTTGGGTTATTGTTGCTAGTCTTTAAGACTAGATATTAAGAAAGGCAAGATTTATTCAATCAAAGTTTTATATTACAGTCCTGCCAAGATGAATCAAAAGATTTAAAACTGAAATAAACCTTTATGTCAATCATTTAATTTACTATTTGGACAAGTTGCATAACCACTTAGCTCTATGTAAATCTGACTCTGTGCCACAAATATACTTGATGATCATTATGCAAAATGACATTTACTCTCAAAATTCACATCCTTAACATCCACGCTCACTTACAATCTCTCTCCATCTCACACACAATCCAATTTCTGCAGCACCTAACCATGTGTGATGAAGAGCCCAGGCCAATAAGCTTCATTGATAACTCGCAACTGAAATGACAACTGTGCCACTACGTGATGAAAATATCAGAGTGTTGCGGCTGTGTTGGAGGTTTCTGACAGTGCCACATCAGTCACCCTCATCACAGCTCTGTTACTCAAAAATATAATCTCGTTTCCTTGCATCAGTCCGGGTGTAAAGTAGGCCACTGTGATCAAAATTAAGCCGTTGACATGACTGCTCACCTTCCTTATCCAGCTCTCTGACTATCGGGAATACACCAGCAAATACAGACAGACATAGCACAGATGGATTGTCTAAACACCACAGCAAAACTGTCAGTGCATGCTACAATAATAAGCTTGCCTTATGAAATTATCAGTTAAAAAGTGCAAACGCAACATCTCTACACAGTTGGTAAAACATTTTTTACACTGTCTTAACACTGTCCTGCTCATGAAGGCCTCTTAACACTACACATTTAAAGCATCTCAATCATCTGACTCACACAAATTAGCCCAGTACAACTACACAACAAGATTAGACATCTGAAATCACAATGAAGACACTGAATAAAGTAAGGCAAAAATACCCAGATGATAGATATTTACAATAGATATTTAAAGTGTGCATCCATGAATCCTTTTTGACCACTGACCCGTACAGAGCAGAATGCACAATAAAAAACTAAGCATTCTAAACCTTACCAGAAATGTTGTAATGTCCTCTTCAGTCCATCATGTCACCAGAAATGAAGGGTGAGTGTATGCTTAATAATGTCACTGAACTTTCAAACAGCTACAATGAAAATGCCTGAAAAACATACACATACAAATATTTCAGAGGTGTTTAATTAATGATGGGGGGAAAACATAGGTATAGGTCCCCTATATGTTGATGTTTAATATAAAGCAAAAATTATTTGTTTAGATCATAGTTTTAAATATGTAATGATTCATATTTTTATGATGAATTTTTGTTTAATCTGGGTCTGGGACAAGAATAAACAATAGGGGTAGACCGGAGATGGTTATAACATTTTTGACGTTTCTGTCTGTATCTTGGGGTTCTTTTAAGCCAGTGCATTCAAAATGTGCTTCAAATTAGTTACAAGTGTCTGCTATTAAATGGCATAGCTGTTATCTTTGCAGCACAAACAGAAAATGCATGGTTTAGTTTCAAACACGAGGAGTGAAATGTTACAATTCACCCCATAGTCCAACTTAGTTGTAACATACCCTGGGGTAAGATGTTACCTTATGATATCCACCGGTGTGAGACATAACATTATGCAATAAGGATTATGAAAAAAAAAAAAAAAAGGCATTTGAAAGCTTTTTATTCAACACTGACTTTTCAACAAAATTGGTGTGTGTTACATTAGCATCATGATAATAAAACTGAATAACGTACATAAGTAAGTGTGTGTGTGTGTGTGTGTGTACCTGTTTTTCTATTCTGGTGAGGACTTAAACCTGAATACACATAGACTCATGGGGACTCGTGTCACGGTGGGGACCTAAATTGAGGTCCCCACGGGTAAACAAGCTAATAAATCACACAGAATTAAGTTTTTTAAAAATCTAAAAATGCACAAAGTTTCCTGTAAGGGGTAGGTTTAGGTGTAGGGTTGGTGTAGGGCAATAGAATATACGGTCTGTACAGTAGAAAAAGCATTACGCCTATGGAGAGTCCCCACAAGGATAGCAAACCAGACGTGTGTGTGTGTGTGTGTGTGTGTGTGTAAGCATGTTTGTTAATGTCAGACATAGTAATTGGCCATAATAAAACTGAACTTGAACACTTGACTTGAACATTTATAGACACCTCTCGGTTTGTCTTTCTCTTCCAAGACCTAGGCATACTGAAATTCAAAGAAAACTTTTAAATAAAACAAAAAATTAGCTTGGAGTGAGTTATAACATGTTTTATTGATGTTACATCCAACCCCGCGACTTGCTGCTACAACTAACCCAGAGTTTTGTAGCCATGAACTAGCTCACCTTACAGCAAACAGCCAAAGCATTAGCACTAACAATCCGCATGAAAAACATCTGCACAGACATAAAATGGACAAAATTTAACATTGATGAGTTTGACTACAAAGCAGGGACTACCATCACAAAAATAAATGAAGTATAAAAAGTTACTTTTTACCTCAAAATAAGTTTTTCTCCTCTAAACTCTGCTGCCTGCCACAGGGCTCTAATTCCTCACATGTGGAATAAGCACTCAAATGAAAATGTGTGAAGTGAATTAGGTGGTTTGTAACTTGTTCCTTATTTGAGAAATTGGAAGTGTTAACTGACCCTTGTTACAACCATCTCCGGTCTCCCCCAACTAACTATAGCCTATATGAACAGAAGCAAAAAAAAAACAAAAAAAAGAGGTATGGTAAAAATTTTTGAAAAAAAAATAAAACCTGACGTTTTAATAAATCACTCTAAATAAAAGTACATGTGAAAACCACTTTTTGTAATTCGAATGAAACCCGTGGTTCTTCTTATCATCAATGTAAAAAAATATTATTTTTGAATGTTTTTTTAGAATGTTTACATACTTTATTCAAAGTGGTTTTCTGAGCTCATATTGTTAGGATTATGAAGAACCTCACAGAAGGTCTAGTTAAACAAGCTCAAATGAGTGTGACTGAATTCATTCTCAACAGCTGATGTGCCGCGTACTGAGAGACCTTGCCACACAAAAGACACTGTTTTTTTATTTGTGTTTATTTATTATTTTTTTAATAATCTTCCGCTCTTCATTTTGTGTATGTTTTGTCTCTGGTTAATCTGGTGTCCTCCAAATGTTTATTGTTAATGAACAGAAGCAAAAAAAAAAAAAAAAAAAGAGGTATGGTAAAAATTTTTGAAAAAAAAATTAAACCTGACGTTTTAATAAATCAACAACTGGGGCATAAAACAGAAATAACAATTAAGATGTGACCTAAATATGTCATACTGTATATTATCACCTACTACATACATCAATTATTAGTAGTAATAGTAGTAGGCTAGTATTGTTGTTATTATTAATATATATTATTATTAGTGTTTATATGACCTAATATAACTTCTATGATTGTAACCGTTTCCGTAACGTGTTATCCCGCTTGTTTTCTTTCCCGCGCCATTAATGGCTGAGGCACTGCGAGATGAACGCGCCACGTGCCTTAAAAAATCGGATTGTTTGAAAATCTCGGCTCTGAACTTGAACCCAACTAAAACGAGCTACGAGTACAAGTGGAAAGTTAAGTGTGAACGGATGGGAGTTCTCTTTCTATATCAATTTATATGTAAATCACACTAAATTACCCACCATATGCCAGTCCTCATTTACAGTTCTCCCGAATTCATCCATGCAGGAGGGCAGCTGAATGAGGATCTATCATCAGCTGGATTGCTCTGTCGATAACGTCTGTTTGGCAGGCCAAGAATGAAGCAATTGAGGCCATCTGGAATGACTGCACTGCCTATACACCGCCCTCATGTGGCTTTAAGTAGAATCAACGTTCATGATTACCTGTGAAATCATACGGAAAATTCTACACCCGAAAATTGGAAAATTCACTGGGACTGAAAATTTTTTGTTGTTGTTGCTCAAATTTAAGAAATGTATCTTTACTGATATCAGAAAATGTGAAAGTTTGTGCGATCATACTTGTATGCTAAAGTCAACTCAAAAATGTTAAACCAAAACACAAAAACCTTTTTGATATAGGCCCTACTTTTACTGAGTAACTTTCGAATACAAAATTCCATTTTGCTCCAAACCTCGTCATACTAAAGTTTCTAGCCAGCAAGAGCAACAACCTTTCACTTTTTGGTTCGTCTTCTAACTTAAGCAGACTTCATCTGAGAACTAATAATTTAATGAAGTCTCTAATCATGAAAGGAAATTAAACACTAAAAATACCTGCTTATTATTGGTTCTGTGCACTCTGCCTGCTACAACTCAGACAAATAAATGATGCGGAAAATTAGAGCACAAAAAAATCACAGTGATTTACAATTACATGAGGTGACCTGAATAAAGCTGCTAGAGTACAAATGTGATTAAAAGCAAAAGAAACAGATAGAAGACAAACTTGTGTAATTTACAATAGACCTTTTACTTGCTGATATATTTCCTGCAGTTTCTCCCCAGAGCTGTTAGACCTCAACGAGAATTGCATAATGCTTTTGTGCTGATTGACTGATATTCTGCCACATTAATCAAGTATAACAAATAACAGGGTTTGATATCAAGTATGCAAAATATTTATTTACAGAAGCGATGTGTATTAAAACTGAAAAAGGGGGAAAGAACAAGATCTGTAGTGACTTACAGTAAATCAAAGTTACAGTCACTATGAAGGAGGCAGTTCTTCACACTACCTTTTGGCAGCTACCTCATTTAATCCTTACTTTAAGCCCTGGTAAAAATAGAGCATGGAATACAAACCATCTAGTACTGTTGGAGAGATTAGTAGAGGATTATTTATCCATTTAGTCAGATAAACGCATATTATGTTAGAAGGATGTGGAAATACGTGCCCTGAGTGTCATGTCCCTCTAGTTGATAGCTAAGGTCTACATGATAAACTGCGGATTCATATTGGTGTTTAAGGAATAGTTCACCCAAATTTGCTCACACTCAGGCCATCCAAGATGTAGATGAGTTTGTTTCTTCATTGGATCTGATTTAGAGAAATTTGCATCACTTGCTCAATAATGGATCCTCAGCAGTGAATGGGTGCCGTCACTCGTTAAAGGGGTCATATGATGCGATTTCAATTTTTCCTTTCTCTTTGAAGTGTTACAAGCTCTTGGTGCATAAAGAAGATCTGTAAAGTTGCAAAGACTAAAGTCTCAAATCCAAAGAGATATTCTTTATAAAAGTTAAGAGTCAGCCACGCCTACCTAAAACGGCTCATTCTAACACGCCCCCACGTCTACGTCACGATGTGGGAAGATTTGCATAACGCCGCCCAAATGTTCACGCAAAGAAAGAAGGCGTAACTTTTATTCTCACTGTAGTATTGTTGCTGCCGCCATGTCTGAAGGCGCTGTGTGTTTTTTGTGAAAGCAAAACTACTTTGTTTGGCCTTCCAAAAGAGGACGATATCTGCTTCGTCATGCCTGGAGCTGATCCGTGCTGGTTGCTGAGGAAATACATCAACTTCGCGCTGTGGATCACCGGATCGGCTTTCACCGTGGACGAAGCGGAGTCCAGCCCGGGGTCGTCACATGTGGTTGCTGCAAGCCCGCCGGACGCTCCTTCGTCGAATCCGCCGACCGCGCCGTTCTCAAGCCCACAGGCCTCCGCTCACTCTAGCCCGCCGTGTGTTTCGTTGTGAAAGACAATGAAACAAATGCCTCGTTTGTAATGGGTTTTCATGTTTTTGAATCATCGCTCCGGCCGGACAGGGCATCACAATATGGTAAGGGACGTAACATTTCCGACGCGTGCTTGCAGTGTTCGGCCAATCACAATGCACTGGGTCAGCTGGCCAATCAGAGCAGACTGCGCTTGTCAAAAGAGGGGTCTTTGTTGAAAAGACGCGTTTCAGAAAGGCGGGGCATAGAGGAGAAACAATAATGTACAGTATGTGGAAAATAATGTTTTTTTTACTTTAAACCGCATAAACACATTTCATTACACCAAATACACAAAATAATGTTCTTTTTAGCAACATCATATGACCCCTTTAAGTGAAAAAGTTGCGTGTTTGTAGAAAACAAAACTGACGTTTTTAACTTCACACTGTTGTTTTCAGCTACAATACAAGTCCTCTATCCATTTTATTGCTTTTTCCAGTAAAAAATTGGCTCATCTGAATCAGGTGAGAAATATGCACAGATCAAGCACCGTTTACAATCACATAGCTTTTCACTTCACGAGACGTTAAATGATGGACTGGAGTTGTTTGGATTACTTTTGGATTATTGTAATGTTTTACGCTGTTTGAACTCTCATTCTGACGGCACCCATTCACTGCAGAGGATCTATTGGTGAGCAAGTGATGTAATGCAAAATTTCTCCAAGTCTGTTCCAATGAGGAAACAAACTCATCTGTATTGGATAGCCTGTATGTGAGAAAATAGTCAGCAAATTGTTGTTTTGGGGGTGAACTATTCCTTTAAGTTGCCGTCATTAAAATTTCGAGGGCAAACAGGTCTATTTTTTATTGTCAAGTGTGTCGCAATGTACGAAGTCTCAGAGAAGTCACTTTCAAACTAAGTAGCTTTCTCTTGGAAAATGCAATAAATTCTCTTGACCAACTTGAAAACAATTCAGAATCTGTGTCGGGAAATATTTCGCCCTCAAGCGTTATGAAAATACACTCTTGAAAATTCACAGAACGGTAAATGTGACTGCACCTTTAAACCACATTATTGTTCCTGTCAGGTTCTGTTTAATTGACACTCACTTGTGAAGGTCCAACTCTTGCTACAAAAATTTTGGTCAGTAATATGACTACCCATGCCATTGCACAGTGTGAATGTTTAGGTTACTGGGGACATTTGACTTGTTTGTTTCTTCTCTTTTTCTCAGGGTCAGCATCATAAATCCCTCTGTTGCCAAAACTGCATTGACTGCAAATAGGAATGATGGGTTGAGAATACAAACATGAATTATTGCTAAAACTGAACCGAGTTTATCAGCAGTCATTCTTGTCATTTCAGGGTCATATTTGAAATGGATAACAGACTGAGAACACTAAAACTTCTGTAGGGTTGTATATATATTGTATGAAAAGTTGCACAAACTGCATTATTGATTAATGCTACATAAAAAACATTGTGTTTTTACTTCTGTTTCTTTTTTCCTTGTGTGTATATGACTGCAGAAGTGCATGTGAAAATGATTACTTTGGACAAAGTCATATTTATAATTTGGTTAAAATCTTACATTTTGATTTAATATTAATCAAATATATTTATTTTCCCAAAGACATTAAAATTCATGCAAATAAAAGGTTATTGAATAGACCATATAACATACTTAATATATTTTCTTAGACATAAGCCAAAACTAAATGTTTATTGAGATGTGTTTTTAAATCATATTTTCTGTTTTCTTGCAAAAAATAAAAATGAATTAAAAAAATCAATAAATTCTGCAGTCAGTAAAGCTTGCCAACACAATATATATACATATACTGTTAACTATTCTTTTTGACCAAAAAAAAAAAAACTGAACAAAACAGGTTTAATCCAGATCCCAGGATTTTCAATTTGGCCAATATAAAACGGCACTTATTTGTATGAGCAATGAAGACTTGTTTCCACACTGCTTTTCATTTTATTGTCAGTGCAGTGCAATACTTTATTTAAGAGGACTGAGACTTACACAAGTCACCAAATTGTAACATTTAATTGCCAGTAACTACTGTCGTCCAAATGCCCAGGCTCTTTACACAAGGCTGAAATTTAACTGCCTCGCATGCTTTCACTGCAAGTTGTCAAAAGACTCTACTAATGGTCAAATAACAGTGTTACAAGAACAAGAACCAAACGTGTCACTACACTGTGCATGCATTAGATACTGAACTAGTTGCATAAAACATTTAATGGAACTGCGGAAAAGAGTGTTTGGAAGTGCATATAAGTGTCACGTTTACCTGATGGAATGAAGACAGAAGAGCATACAACGAAGATAATCTTAATTCTTTTTAAATACATCCACAGGGAAAGATGAAGGGAATATCAATACACGAAGGGTAACCACATACAATAACTGACAACTCAGAGAACTAAAGGAAGGGAATTTATACAAATGGAAGAGGAACTAATGACTAATTAACAAGACACAGGTGAAAGGAAGTTAACTAATAAAGACATAACGAGGACAGGAACAGGAACGACCAAATATGGGCACATGAGGGAGAAAAACACAACCAAATGTAACGAATCAGCTAATGCGAAATATGAATAATTAATCATAACTAGTTATAATTAATTATGAATATTTTAGATCCGCTGTAGATATTTACTTGA